ATCAGCTGCAGGCATTCTTGGAGGACATCAATAGTCTTGATCAACTTCAGTTGGGGTTGGGACTGAGGCAGTTATTGTTGCCCTACTTAATGACTGGTTAAGGGAGGCCGACCAAGGGAGTTTAACCTTGTTGCTCCTCTTGGATCTTTCAGTAGCCTTTGACACCATCAACGACAGAATTCTTCTGAACAGGCCATTGAGTTCGGGGCTTTATGCTGGCTTCTATAGTTTCTCAAGGGCCATTCTCAGATGGTACAGCTTGGGGATGTTGTTTTGACTCTGGGGGTTCTACAATGTGAAGTCTCACAGGGGTTGACCATCTCCTCAATGCTGTTTAACATTTATATGAGGCTGCTGGGAGAGGTCACCTGGAGATTTGGAGGGCATTGTCCTTGATATCCTGATGACGTGCAGCTGTATTTCTCTTTTTCATCTTTGACAATGGAAGCTATAATATAGATACTGAAGTGCTGCCTGATCTTGGTTATGGATTGGATAAGGGCTGACAAGCTGAAACTGAATCCTGGCAAGACGTAGATATTCTTGTTAGGCAGGGGCTCTGACTGGTTAGGGGGTTCTCTGCTGACCTGGCAAGGGCTATGCTTCCCCTTAAGGACCCGGTCCACAATTTCAGTATGCTTCTGGACCTGGCACTTCCCATGAAGAAACAGATCTCAGCTGTGACCAGGTCTACCTTTTTCCAGCTTTGGCAGTTTGCACACTTGTGGCCCTATCTGGACAGGAAAACCCTGATAACACCAGTTCATGCATTAGTAATCTTGAAGACTGACCACAGTAATGCTTCCTACATAGGGGATACCATTTAAGGCAATATAGAAGCTGCAGAAAGTGCAAAATGCAGCAGCCAAGCTGGTGTCAGGTACCTCAGAATATGATCATATCCTACACTGTTTGATTGTAGACTTCTGTGCCAGTTTCAAGATCTTAATGATAACACACAAGACCCTTAACAGTTTGGGATCTCATTACAGTATTTGTTGGAGCGCTTCTCCCTGAGACTGTCCAGCTGTACTACCTGCCCCTCCCAAGCTTTGTTCTTGTGGGTAACCACTCCAAGGGAGGCCCAGAAATCTATGACTAGCCAGTGGCCGCCACTTTGTGGAAAGCCCTGCTGGTAGAGGTGCATCAAGCTTCTTCTCTCATAGCATCCCAAAAGCTAATAAAAACACAACTCCTAAGAGAGGCCTTTCTGGTTCTCCTACCCTCATAATACTGTAGTTTTGTGTTTATACTGTATTTTGTTTTTGAATCTGTTGCTTTATGGTGTCACTAGCAGGGTTTTTTTTTGTTTATACTGTTATTTCGTTTATTTATGAATGAGAGGTAGGGTGCCTTATGCTTTATGTTTGTCTTGTAAACTGCCCAGAGTAGTGACATGCCTTAAATAAATATACTGTTTGCAGGAAGACAAGCCAGTTCAACAGTTACCTCAAACCAGCCTCTTAATAATAGGACCCATGCAGATCTTAATTGAGAGATTTGTGATTTGATCTCCTAGCTTAATGATCTTTTAAAACCAACTAAAATGTAGATGTGGGACTGGACTTTGTGCACGCTTCATGTGTTCTAACCCTTTTCCTATGCACTACAGTCCTGCTTCCGAATTGCCCTCCTGGAAATGCTGTTAGCCAGGGAGGGGAAGTCTGTGTGAATTCCCCTCTCCATTTGTCATGATCATAATCCAAACTGAGTTCAGCACACAAAGTCATGAATCTCCCAGTTACTCTGTAATTTGTTATTGAGTAGTCCAGAATATAATATAGGATTCACGTCTTATAGGGCTTTTACACATGTTACCCAGTGCAGGCTGTACATAAAGTGGGGTGCAAGAGTGAGCCTGGCTTGACTGTGCATTGGTCCCCCCGATCGCATAATAGAGTGTTACTTACGATACACTGTCCACACATCTGTTCGCACATCCATCTTCTAAAGAAGAGGAGAATGGAACGTGAGGGTGGATTTAAATTCGTTACAAGCCTAAATGAGACTGCACTCATTCGCATTACTCCCAACATCAAGCCATTGTTTGGCACAGAGAAGTCCCCAGTGAGGCTTGTGAAATTCAAACACAGGACTTTTGCTTATCTAAGACGGCAGTTGAAAACTTCAATATTAACTCAGAGTGAGCTTTTAAAAGTCGTGAAAACTTTGCCAAGCTTTAGTCAGTTGTCCGCTCACATTCCTTTCTCTGAAACTAAACTTTGGATTCCTTTTCCCTTCCTATGTGGGGAAGCTTGTATATATATCTTGTAAAGTACTGTTTGGTAGGGACCCCACCATTTCTGCAGAGCTGTTTTGTTCTGGTAAATGAGCCAATTTGGATTTTAACATCTTTCAATTATTCAGCTGGGTATTTCTTCATCTGCATTAACTAGTGGGCAGACTTTCCCCATCACCACATCTTAGACATGAACTTCCTGTTGCTCTTCTCAGGAAGCATTTCTCTTGATGAATAGTGAACTTGTCCAGTCACCACAGGCGGCAGACAAGCAAAGAGAAACTAATGAAGAACACTCTCCTCGCAGGATATGTATCTGTGTATCTTGTGCTGAGTAATTCCAGATGGGTACTACGCTGTTATCTTGGCTGTTTGCTGTGGAGGATATCCTATTTCTAAGTCAGAGCTGAGAGATAGTGGCTGTTTGGGGTCACTTTTTGTTGTTCACTGACATCCTGAGGCAGTGAATCACGCCTGCCTTCTGGCATGAGGGAACATGCTATGCACCTTCACTCGCAAGCTGGACTCCTCAGACAATGTTCCAGATGGCCAGCTTTTGCCTGGGCGTCTCATAGATGCTGGCAGCCAGGCAAAATGAATACAGCAGGAATAGCAGCTCTATTAGGATACTGGTTGTTTATGGTGCTAGGCAAGTAGGAAATAAACAAACTGTATCAAAGAAGCCACACAGGGTTGCACATCTGGACAACTGTGATGTCATATAGCTGACATGGGGATTTTTTCCCCCCCACTTTCTGGGCGTTCGCTCAAATTATTTTTGGCTTAATTCCTCTAACTGTTCCTCAGAGCTATACATTTCTCACCTGCTATGCCTGAAACATGTTAAAATCCACGTTAGTTCCTGCCTTTGTCTCTATTCCCTCACCCACCCACCACCCTTATTTCCATCCTTTCAGATGTCTTCACACATTCCTGTTTCAGAGACTAAGGACGGCCCATATTAGAAAAACTGTACATACCACCAATGGTGGTGTGGGTTTTTTCCCCTGGCAATATTCTTTTACATGGTCGTGTGTTGCTGTTGCTGTTGCTTTGTTGCTTCTCAGCTCCAGTGTCTTATTCATGTAAAACAAGGTTGTTCTCTTATTGCAAAATCAGAACGATTTATTCTACTCTGTTGTTTTTCTGCTATGGTTTTCAAGCATTAATCCTCCAGATGTTTCCTTCATTGACCATTGGCCATGCTAGATGTGACTTCTGGGTATTGGTTGAAAATACCTGGAGAGGCAAAGGTTGAGCACTGTTGCTAGATAACAGTGCAAAGAATGGCTATTTGTAGAGCCAGTTGATACAAGCTGGAGCATGAGCTGCCGAAGCTTTTCCTGTATTGCACTGCTGCAGACTACAGATGGGCAAGAAAATAGTATCTAGATAGGTAGATGTTCTGCTGTGAAAATGCTCTGTACAGATGAAAGGCTGGCATTTCATTGAAAGGCTAATTGCTTGTATTGTTGAAGCATTTTCAGAACACACATTCACCTTGCAGCTGAAAGGTTAATATATTCATTTACTTATCATATCTTTGTAGCTACCCATCAACCATTTAGATAAATCACAAGCCCAGCTGCAGGTATATGGCTGAAGATGAAACATGCTTTCAAAGTAGTGCATTAGTGGGAAGGTAGTAGCATGCAAAGTTTTCAGCTCACTGTTGAGAATCATATTGACAGAGTTTGCACAGCTAATCTGAATGTTTTACAAACCCAAATGACTACACTTTTTAGATTGAAATACTTAGTCTTTATTTTATTTTTATTTCTAAGAGTAATTTTTCTAATTTTTAGCTATATATCATTAAGTGACTGCCAAATTATGTGAGTCTCTTAATTTACAGTTGCTTACAGGTTATATCTTTTGCTATGGAGCTGCCATCCTCTGTAATAAATTAGCAATACTGCGGCAATAACACTTGCTGAATATGGAATGTAAGGGATCCAGAGGTTGTACATGTTGCAACAGGAGGATTATATATTGCCCAACCAGTTCCTGATAATTAATTAACAGTCAAAAAGATGTTGAGAGCTTGGAGACAAAGGTGAAGTCCACTCTCAATACGGGTATAATTGCAGCCCATCCTCCAAACTCCCACATAGTGAAAATTGCTTGGTGCAAATTGCTCTTCTTTCCATGGAAGCATGACCTTCCACTGTAGACAGCTAATGAAAGTGGAAATACCACTTACATCCATATACTGTATAGTAACTACATATCAGAGCAGGTTATGGCAAGCTGTCATCATGTATACCCTCTCATAGTCAAGACTTCTGCCAATACCATGAAGCAGATCTGTATCTGTGGAGAAGAGCAGTTACAACAAGTCTGGTGATGAGATGTAGCAGAAAAACATAGTCAATGCTTAGCAGCTTGAAAGGATCAATGGTGAGAATCACAGGAGAAGCAGGTCTTTAGTCAGCAATAGGATGTGTTCATGACTTGTTGCAATCTTCGTTATGGCTAATATACATTAATAGATATAAAAAAATTAATATTTCAGGGAATGTTAATCTATATGTGATCTCAAAGACTTATATGAATGTGTTAAGTAAGGCTCAGACATGTAACATTATTTTACTATAGCCACTGAGAAAGTGTATTGAACCAATGCAGCCATACAGTGCAATGACTATTTATTTTCTTTGTCTGCTTCCTTCCTTAGAGGTCCATATTCACCAGCTCCATTACTGCTACAAATGTTGGTGCTAATCTCAGCTGGCCTAATGCTGCCATTGTTTATTGACAGGTTCCCAAGAGTCTGATAGCTCTCAATCTGCCAAGAAAGACATGCTGGCTGCCTTGAAATCTAGGCAAGAAGCTCTGGAAGAGACACTGCGCCAGCGCCTGGAGGAGTTAAAAAAGCTGTGTCTCCGTGAAGCGGTGGGTAGCAGAGATTTTTATCATCCTTAGAAATCCTTTTGCTGCTTCTAATATGCAACGAAGCAGAAATGAATTATTAGGCTACTATCCTAAAGGGCCTCTGTTTCTCAAAGTAAAAGGTTCAATAATCCTTCAAACATTCACATTTGCTTATGTTGATAACAAGCCTGAATACTGAGCAAAAACGTAGAAAACATTTGAAATTGTCAAATTCTTCAGCAGAATTGTGAGTATTGCTAGGCAAAAAAGTTAGAATCTGGATAGATCATTTCTATAATGGGTCATATGCGAAGTCTCAGATTTAGACAGAGTTCATTTCCTCATCTAATTTCCTAACATGGCCCAACTTCTGTTGCTCCTGAATTGCGACTACTTCCCAACAGTTTTGTCCTGATTTAATAGAATTTATTTACAGAGGATAACGTAGCACTCATTTTTTATGATTTCCTACGCACTGTCAAATTTTGCAACAGACAAACTATTCAGAGCACATAGATAAATGCCATCTCTGTCCTCTGTGAGTACTGTGGCTTATGTAGCAAACATAGTACCAAGCTTAGCAAAGGAGGAAGGAAGCACTGGGTTTGAGGAAGCCCTGAGACTTGTGGAAATTGGGAGAAAAATTGAAGAGAAAATTACTGTATTTGGTCAGACTTTCAAGAACAATAGCATAGTTTGGGTACTGAAAGCCACAGAGAGTAATTCATTGGAGTCTTGCTCTCTTGGCTGTTCTCCTGTAAGTCATTCTGTAGAGGGACCAAAGCAGAACCAGGTTTGTATCCCATTCCATTGTCAGCATCATTGTGTTGATTATTACTGTACATCCCTTGTGAGAGAAGAATGATGGCAGAGTGCTGTACAAATGAGGTCACTTTATCTTTCTCTGGTTTTGGGTAGTTTTTGGATATTTTTAAGACACTGGAATTATTTTAACCTGGACTAGATTCAAGTTGGTTACTGTGAAAATAAATCCCTTTTGATTGGTGAAACAATAAGATTACCACCATGCTTTTGCCTTGTCTGGGAGCATCATAAATAGCAGCAATTGTATCAATGAAACTTGTTTTTAGATTACTTACCTCTAGCATCACAAGTTGTACCATTCAATCACTACATTCCAAGCATAAATCTCATCCCACCAGATTCCTGCTAATGCCTACTGTAATATATTTGCCTTCCTTCAGATGTTTGTTATCCACCTTCAAGTAGCTCAGAACCACTGACCATGGGGAAGGCTGGTATAGATTCTATAGATTCAAGCACACAGATGCTGTCTGACATTTCTGCTTCTCTTTGTCCCATTCCTTCAATTGCCTGTCTCTTGTATTCTTTTTCTTCCCCACTTTGCTGTTCTTCTAGAAGAGTCTGCAAAACTTTGTGCACAAATGCTTCATTTTCCTTCATGAGGCAAAGAATGGATAGATAAACCTCAAGCTGCTGCACCTTCTCTTCCAGCAGGTCAGCATGCTTGTACCTGTTGCAAATGTAAGTTTTGACATCCTCAGGCAGGAAGACAATCTTGCCAAACATCCTGTAAGTCAATGCAAAAGCTCCTTCCAGATCCATCTCCTTTGTCCTAGGCAGGGACTGAAACAATACTCCTAGCATCCCTCTCAAACTCCTCCACCAAACATCCATGCAGAATACACCTTTTTACTCTTCCTCTTTCCAAAGTCTGGCTCACAAGCTTGCAGGGACTCTTGAGTGCAGCTACAAACCCAGTAGCTGTTAGCTCCTCACCCAATCAAGTCAGTAATATTTCTTTTTGAAGCATAAATTGCACTTCCTGGTCAATAGATTTGTTTAAAACAACTTTAATACACTCAATCCTGGGGGGAAAAGTGTGCCAAATTAAAAGCAAACCATTTCCCACATGTCTGCTTAAGCAATTATTTTTATATCACATATAAAGGAATAAATTCCAAAGGAAAGGCAGAGGAGTAGCATTGTATGTAAACTGTGAGGAAATCCATGAGCTGGAACTGGTAATACAGGTGGAGGGCACTTGAGTAAAAATCAGAGGCAAGAGAAACAACAGTGACATCACTGTGGTGATTTTTTTTATAGTCCTCCTAGCCAGACTGACAATTTAGATCATGCCATCCAAGGCCAGATTGCTAAACATTCAAAAAGGAGAGGATACAATAGCAATGAGAGACTTCAGGTACCTTGATATCTGTTAGAAACCAACTCGGCTGAAAATATGAGGGTCAACAAATTCTTCATTTGCCTTTCTGGATTCTTTATCTTCCAGAAGGGGGAAGAAAACATAAGTGGATTGGCTGTTCCGGTTCTGGTCCTTACCAACAGAGAAGAAATGGTCAGCAAAGTACAAATGTAGAGAACCTTGCATGAAAGCAACTAGGCCTTCTTGGGATTTGTTATAGTGAAGAAAGGAAAATGTGAGAATAGTGTAATGTGCACTCTGGACTTGTAAGAGAACTGGTTTTAGTAAGCTTTAGCTTAAATAGAGGGTGAGATCCCACAATCAGAAATAAAGAAAAGAGAATCTACGACAGAAGGATGCTTGTTAAAGTTGATTTGTCATCAGTGGAATCGTAAACCATTACTATGAGAAAAAAAGTGGGAAATATCTGAAGAAACTGGCTGACTGAATCAGGAGCTTTCAGACGAAGTAAGATGTAATGTATAGGCATGTATAAGAAGTAGAAAAAGTGACAGAAGAGTATAAAAGAGTATCCAGTGTTAGTTAGTTAGCAGGTCAGGAGGGCTAAAGTTCAGAATGAACTCAGACTTGCAGGAGAGGAGTCTGTGAGAGGACTGCCACCCAAGATAAGTACAAAGGTGGCACAGAAATATGTAGCTACTTTAAATGAATTCAGGTCTTTAAGGTCTGATGAGCTGCATCTAAGAGTAATTAAAAAAACATGCAGATGTGATCACAGTGCCTCTGACGGTGTTTTTGGAGAACAAGTGAGATTCCTGAAGACTGGGAGTAGACAAATCTTTATCTTCAAACGAGAAAAAAGAGATCCAGGCAACTTGTATTAACTTCTTGCCATTAATATCAGGAAAAAAATCAGAACAGATCAACATACAGTCTGAGAACAGTCTGAGAACATACAGAAAAAATTGTAATGATGACAGCATGGGTTTCTCAGAAGATCCAGCATAGGTTTCTCAGAAAGAAGTCATGCCAGACTAATATTGCCTCTTTTTTTGACAGTCACAAGCTTGGTAGAAGAGGGAAATGCTGTCAGTGTAGAGCAGGGGTCTCAAACTCAATTTACCTGGGGGCCGCTGGAGGCAGAGTCTGGGTGAGGCTATGCCACATCAGATTTTCCGCCAAGCGGAGCAAGAGCCCAAGGAAGCTGCCCAGGAATTTCCTTAGCCCAGCTGGGGCTCCAAGGAGGAGGAGGAGG